GAGGGGAGATTCCGGGGCCAGAGGAAGACCCGTGGCGAGAAATCCCGGGACGAGAGTAAGGCGGGTGGCGAGCAAAGATCCCACGGCGAGGAGAAATCCCAGGGTGAAGTAAGGGTCTCTAACGAGAAGGGGCGAGGCGAGGAGAAAGTAAGCTGGGAAGAGAGACTGGGAGGGGAGGAGCGGGTCTCTAACGGGGCGTGGCGTGGCGAGGAAAGGGAGCTGGGTGCAGAAAGGGGGCGGGGCAAGAGGAAAGGGCGGGGCGAGGAGCAGGCGCGGGAAGAACAGCTGGCCAAAGACCAGGGGAAAGGAAAGGTCGAAAAGCAGCGGGTCGAAGAACTGGGTCGGTGCAAGGATAAGAAGCCGAGTGAGGAGCAAGCCCTAGGACAGAAACAGGGTCGGGGACAGGGGAAAGGGAGCGGCGTGGTGAAGGCCCAAGAGAAGGACCCAGAGAGAGGCGGGACCAAGGGTAGGTCCCGGTGCCGGAGCAGCGCCCGAGCGAAGAGAAAGGGAAGGCACGAAAAGAAGGTTGGGGGGCGGACAAGAAATGATGGTAGAGCCAGATGCAGGAACAAGAGTGTGATCACAGATTGCAGCAGAACAGGAGAAAGCAGGGGGTGTTTGGTCAAAGCGAGGAACAGAAACCGAGACTTGGTGAAGAGCCGGGTCAGAATACTAACAGGCCGAGCAAGAAGCAAGGGCCGAGCAAAGTTACAGAGAGAGATGAGGAGGCGGGAGGAAAAGAGGTGCGCTAGTAGTGTCGTGACCAGGAGCAAGAGTAGGGCTGGGACCCGGAGTAAGACCCGAGTTGGGGTCAGGAGCAAGAGCAGGGCTGGGACCTGCAGCAAGAGCGGGGCTAGGGCCAGGAGCAAGAGCGGGGCTAGGGTCAGGAGCAAGAACCGGGAGGGATCCTGGAGCAAGTGCTGGGAGGGAGCTAGGAGGAAGAGGCGGGAGGGATCGCAGAGCAAGTGCCGGGAGGGAGCGAGGAGCAGGAGACAGCAGGGATTCTGGAGCAAGAGCCGGCAGGGATTCTGGAGCAAGAGCCGGCAGGGATCTTGGAGCAAGAGCTGGGAGGGAGACAGGAGCAGGAGCTGGAGCCGTAGCCGGGAGGGAGCCAGATGCAGGAGTCGAGAGGGAGCCAGGAGGAAGAGCGGGCAGGGATCCTGGAGCAAGAGCCGGCAGGGATCCTGGAGCAAGTGCTGGGAGAGAGCCAGGAGCAAGAGCCGGCAGGGATCCTGGAGCAAGAGCCGCCAGGGATCCTGGAGCAAGTGCTGGGAGAGAGCCAGGAGCAAGAGCCCGCAGGGATCCTGGAGCAAGTGCTGGGAGAGAGCCAGGAGCAAGAGCCCGCAGGGATCCTGGAGCAAGTGCTGGGAGAGAGCTAGGAGCAAGACCCGGCAGGGATCCTGGAGCAAGTGCTGGGAGGGATCCAGGAGCAGGAGTCTGCAGGGATCCAGAAGCAGTAGCCGATCCGGAAGCAGAAGCCCGGAGGGAGCCGGGAGCTGGAGCAGGGGCAGATGCAAGAGTAAGAGCCAGAGGGAGGCTAGCTGCAAGAGCAGGGGCGGAGCCAAGAGTAAGAGCAGAGGTGGGGCCCTGAGCAAGACCCGGGTCCCAGCCAGGGGCTGGGTCCAAGCAAAGTGCTGGAGCAGTAGCAGCAGGGCGAGGTCATCGAGGTCAATCCCAAAGTGCTGTCTTTCGAGGGGGTATTGATCCCCGCGTTCTCCAGATTCTAGCTACATGTGCGCTGCCAAACCATGTCCCCTGCCAGCCCTGTGTGGCTAAGAGTCCAAGTCCTACGGGTGCTGTGGGCACTGCTCGCGGTGCTACTGGGACCGTGGAGGCTGTGGGCAGTCATCTACGATTTCCACGAGTGCACCTGGCATGTTGTCTTGAACAAGTTCCAGAGGGTGGGTGAGAACTTGGAGAGTGACCAATTCGTTCATCAAGAGCCCGTGGACACAGTGCGCGGTGTGTTCAACATGTTGGTGGACTCACCCATCGACCGGCGCGAGGTGAGGGATCCAGGATCCAGTGAACCAGAGAGGTCCTGAACCAGTGCTCCACTTGGCTCTGCACATGTCACCTACCTCTCCTTGCAGAGATACCTGGGCTTTCCTTACTACCTGAAAATCAACTACTCCTGCCATGGACAGGTGAGTGAGTGTAGTGGGAGTTGGATGATTTTGTCAGCCTCAATTTCCTCATCCCTAACTTTTTTTTTTTTTTTTTTGATACTAGAGATTGAACCCAGGGGCTCTTAGCTACTGAGCTGTGTCTGTAGCCCTTTTTATTTTTTAATTTTGAGACAGGGTTTTGCTAAATTGCTGGGGCTGGCCTCAAACTTGGGATCCAACTTCCTCAGCCTCCTGAGTCACTGGGATTACAGGTGTGTGCCACCATGTCAGGCTCTCATCATTTTAACATTTTTTTTAATATTTATTTTTTAGGTGTACTTGGACACGATACCTTTATTTTATTTATTTTTATGTGGTGCTGAGGATCGAACCCAGGGCCTTGCACATGCTAGACAAGCGCTCTGCTGCTGAGCCACAACCCCGGCCCCTAACATTTTTTTAATATTTATTTTTTAGTTGTAGGTGGACATAATATCTTTATTATATCTTTATGTGGTGCTGAGGTTTGAACCCAGTGCCTTATGAGTGCTAGGCGAGCACTCTACCACTGAGCCACAACCCCAGCCCCCATTTTAACATTTTAATAATGATATTGTCATGCAATCCTGGGGCTTAGGATTCAAGAAGATTATGTAGGTACAGTTCCCAGTGTCCCTCTAAGGACATATCATGTGCTTAGAAGTGAAGTAGAATTTGGGCTGGGATTGTGGCTCAGCAGTAGAGCGCTCCCCTAGCATTGTGTTGTGTCCATCTACACCTAAAAAATAAATCAATAATTTAAAAAGTCAGGTAGAATGTTATGGTTTTGATTTGCCTCTTCCTTATAAATAATGATGTTGAACATCTGTTCATGTACTTGGCTGGTTGCTTATCTCTTTGGAGAAAGGTCTTAAGTTTTGTTTTTTGTTTTTTTTTTTTTGTCGTTGTAGTTGGACATTATACCTTTATTTTTATGTGGTGCTAAGGATCAAACCCAGTGCCTCTCACGTGCTAGGCAAGTGCTCTGCCACTGAGCTACAGCCCCAGCCCGCCCCCCTCTATTCAGGTCATTTGTTTTTGGTTTGGTTTGGTTCAGGGATTGAACCCTGGATGCTTTTACCACTCAGCTATATTCCCTATCCTTTTTTATTCCTGAGGCAGGCCTCAAACTTTTGATCCTACTGCCTCAGCTTCCTGTGCTGCTGGGATTACAGGCATGGGCCACATGCCTTATTTTTTTTTTTTTTATACTAGGGTTTGAACCCAGGACCTACCAGATGAACAGATCTACATCAACATCTCAGTCCTTTTTCTAATCTAATTTTGAGATAGGATCTCTCCAAATTGCCCAGGATAGCCTCATACTTGCCATCCTCCTGCCTCATCCTCCTGGATAGCTAGGATTATGGGATTACAGGTGTCCCATGTGCCCATTTAAATTTTTTTTAAAAAATTATTGAGCTTAAAAGTTGTTTTTTGTTTTGTTTTGTTTTCAGCACTGGGGATTGAACTCAGGGGCGCTTAACCACTGAGCTACCTCCCTATTCCTTTTTTGATTCTTATTTAGAGACAGGGTCTTGCTGAGTTGCTTAGGGCCTCGTTAAATTAGGAAGGCTGGCTTTGAACTTAGATCCTCCTGCCTCAGCCTCCCGAGCTGTTGGGATTACAGGCATGAGCCACCAGCCCAGCCAACTTGAGTTTTCTTCTGTGGTTTGCATTTATGGTATCATAAGGGTTTGCCTAACCGATGGTGATAAAGACTTTCTCCTATGTTTTCTTCTAAGAGATTTTTAGTTTTGGCTCTTACATTTAGGTCTTTGATCCATTTTGAGTTAATTCTGTATAAGGTGTGAGGTAGAAGTCCAGCTTTTACATTTAAATATCCAATTATCCCACCATTGGGTGAAAAGATTATTCTCTCCCTATTGAACTGTCTTGGCACCCTTGTTAAAAATCATTTGGCGGGGCTGGGATTGAGGCTCAGAGGTAAACAGCTCGCCTAGCATACGTGAGGCACTTGGTTGGATCCTCAGCACCACATAAATATAAAAATAAAGACATTGTGTCCACCTATAATTAATGAATAAATAAATAAATAAATAATTTGGCAATAAATGAAGGAGCTTATTTTTGGACTTAATTTTATTTGATATGTTATTCATATGCCAGTACCACAAAGTCTTATTATTGTAATTTTGTAATAAGTTTTATTTTTATGTGGTGTGGGGGATGGAACCTAGTGCCTCACACATGCTAAACAAGAGCCCTACCACTGAGCTACAACTCTAGCCTATAGGTTTGAGTCTGTAATCAACTAGGGTTTACTTGAAAAAGTTTGGCAGAAAATACAGCATGTTCATTGTTTGGGCTCTGGAGCCAGGCTGCCTGGGTTCAAGTCACATAACAGCTGTGTGATCTGAGTCAAGTTATTTAACCTCTCTGCATCAAAATTTCCTTATCTTTAATAAGGTAATGTTAATAATCATACCCACTTCTTCTTTTTTTTTTCTTGTGGTGCTGGAGATTGAACCCAGGGCCTTGTGCATGCAAGGCAATCACTCTACCAACTGAGCTATATCCCCAGCCCACTTCTTAATATGATCAAATGTATACTCTTAGCACAGTACCTGGTTTATAGTAAGGTTCAGTGAATGTTAGCAACTTGTTACTAAGTGTTTTACCCTATGAATCTTTTCTCCTTAGCTACAAGAGTGAGGAAATAATACCTCTTTCTGTTCATTCAACACCTACTATGAATGAGCCCCTCTTTTTGTTAGAGATGATACAATGGTATGTTGATCTATTTTCTGTTACTATATCAAAATACCTGAAGTTGGGTATTTATAGAGAAAAGAGGCTTCTTTATTATTTAGCTCACTTCCAAGATCAGCTGGCACCATCTGTTCAGCCTTTGGTGAGGGTCCCCTTGTCTGTGTCACAACATGGCGGAAAAGAGGGAATGGAAACTGCCGTGTGGAGAAAAGGCCAAGCCCGTGGGGGAACCTGCGTTGTAACAACTCGCTCTTGAGAACTAACTCTGGGAGACTAGCGTTAGGTCCCACAGTGACCCCATCACCTCGCACTGGTTCCAGCACCTTCCACCATCACCACAATGAGGGCCAGGCTTTGAGCACGTGAACCTTTAGGGAACACACTTAAACCATGGCAAATGGTCAACAAAATGGTCACGCTTTTCTTGCGGATTCAGTCCACCAGGAGAACAATTCTTGAGTCAAGTACATAAAATAATTTTGTAGAGAAATAAATAAAGTCTCTTGGGCCATGGCTTTGACTCTGAGTGACATGGGGCCTCAAGAAGGCTCGGAGCAAGCCAGGCCCAGTGGCGCACCCCTGTAATCCCAGCTCTGGGGAGGCTGAGGCGGGAGGATCACAGGTTCCTTATCAACATAGTGAGGCCCTAAGCAGGGAGACCCTGCCTCTCAATAAAACATAAGGACGGGGGACGTGGCTCGGTGGTTAAGTGCTCTGGTTTCAATCCCCAACACCAAAAAGTAAAAATTACGAAAATAGAAGGCTCTGAGCGGAAGAGGGTGTGGTCTGACTGGGCTTCCTGGCTCAGGTGGCAGCAGAGAGACGGGGAGGGGCTGTTGCCCTGTCCACGCAGAAGAGGGAAGACAGGACAGGGTGGTAGCCCGTTGCCCTGACAGGGAGGGGGTCCCTGCCCCACAGCACCTGCTCCCCTGCGCCTGGGAACCTCGAGGCAGGGCCAGGTGCAGGTGCAGGTGTGGGGCAGGTTCACAGGCCCCCGGCTAAGGCTCCCTCAGGAAGAAGTTCCTGGCAGTGGTGGTCACACCGCTAATCCTTCCCCCTTGTCTTCCTCCCCAGCCCAAGGGAGGCCTTCTGCCCGGGAGCTGCTGGGCACATGGCTGTTGCTCACACCTACCCTTCTCTGTCCCTCATGCCACCCACCCTCAAAGCCTCGTCTGGCCCTCAGGACAGCCAGGATCCTGGCACATCTGGGAGATTGTCCCCAGATGCACCTCACCCCATGCTCATTCCACTTTGCCTTGCCCGCTGCCTTCCCCAGACACTCCTCACGCACCTTCTGTCCCCACCCACCTCCTCCAGGAAGACCTCCAGCCCTGTTTGCTGACCTTCCCATGGTGCAGAGCCTGCCCTCCCCACCCTGCCCAGGAATACGGGCCACTAAAGGGGGCTTGAGGCAGGGGGGACCCGAGGGCCCAGAAACTGTCTTAAGGATCTGCCTGTGGGGCCATCTCTCCCTCAGCACTCCGAGGACCTGGTCCGCAGTGGCCACCTGATGGGGCTGAAGCCCCTAGTGCTGGTCACCTTTCAGGCCCCCGTCAACTTCTACCGCTGGAAGATAGAGCAGCTGCAGATCCAGATGGAGGCGGCCCCCTTCCGCAGCAAAGGTGGGCCCCCTGGCCGGGGGAGGGAGCGGCAGGGCGCTCCCAGGATGTTCTGGGGCCTGGAGGGACATCCTGGGAGATGCCAGTACCTCTGCCCACTTGTGCCAGCAGAACCATGCATGGCGACGGAGGTGTGTGTCATGAGCTGGTACACGCCCATGCCCATCAAGAACGGCAGCGTGGTCATGCGCGTGGATGTCAGCAGCAACGGCCTGGGGCCCATCATTCCCAGTAAAAGGTGCCTCTGCCCCAGGCCTGGGTGGTGATGGGGGGGAACATTCTGGGGGGAATCCCTAATCCCCATCCCCAAGGAGCCAGGGAAGGTGGCTGTGAGCTGTTGGGTGAGCTCTGAACCAGCCCTCCTCCTGCCCTGCACCTGATGCTAGGTTCCACGTGAACATCAATGGCTTCCTGAAGATGGGGGCAGACAACAGAATCCAGTTCACAGTGGGAGATGAGGTGAGGGCCCTGCGGCAGCGGGAAAGGTGGAAAGCTTGGGTTTCAGACAACCCAACTGGGCCTGGCCAGGCGCCCTGCTTCCTCCCAAACAAGAGCACTCACACCAGCACGGAACAAGGGTCCCCCAAAGGCAACAAAACCCTAAAACCTCCGGGGGAACCCGGAGGTGCTCTCACACACTCACTTCAACGTGAGGTTTAGAAGGCAGGGGACCATTGGCCCTCTCAGCATGTACACACGGAAGGAGATTCAAAACTGAGCCTGCCTGCTGCTCCATCCGAGTCACTGTGCATTCGTTCACGCAGCATGCACTGCCTGAATGTCACTGTGACACCAAACAGCATGACACCTCCATTCCATTGAAGATTAAAAGATGGTAAACCGCTCTGGAGGGAAACCAAACAGGCTGAGGGGAATGGGTCTATTTGGGACAAGAGTGCCATGTTTAATAGACCGATGAAAGAAGGCCTCATTGAGAAGGTTGACATTTGAGTAGAGACTTGGAGGAGGCGAGGAGAGGGGTCACGTGGATACTGGTGCAAGGTCATCTCATACAGGGGGAATAGCCTGTGCAAAGGCCCTGAGGTGGCAATGTATCTGGTATATTTGAGAAGCACAGAGGAGGCCGATGGGCAAGAAGAGAGTGAGGGAGGCAGGGAGAGGTGGGGAATAAGGTCAGGGAGGTGGTGGGGCAAATGGTGGGGGCCATGTGGTCAGGGTAAGGACTTTGGCTTTTCCCTGAATGCGTCAGAGCCATGGGGCAGGAGTTCTGAGTATCCCTCCTGTCCTTCCCTGGCAGCTCTTTGATATAAAGCCCAGATACTTTGTGAATGTCTCGTCGAGACCCCTGTGGTACAATGTGGACCAGTCACCTGTGCTAATCCTGGGTGGCATTCCCAACGAGAAGGCCCTCCTCATGACCAGCACCAACTTCAGGGAATTCTCTCTTGTGGAAGTGAGTGGTACAGCGGGGACAGTGGGCTGGGGTCTCTTGAAAGGAGCTGGGCCTCAGCCCCTGAATGAGGGGGCCTGGGCCTGCAGAACGGGACCCCAAAGACACCAGTCCCTACCAGATAGCAACTGCAGCCAGGCGACCCAGCTGAAATTCTAGTCCTGCCACTTTCTCACTCACCCTTGGGCAACCCGGGCTTCAGATTCCCATCTGTAAAATGGGGAAAATATCTATATTTATTTTCATTTTATAAAATCATTGTGAAGGTAAGTTAATAGCATCCATCATGAGTGGCATCTATGTGCCCTAGTGCCTTCTACACTCAGGAAAATTCAGAACTGACATACATGTGGCCCTGAGGGTTCAAGCCTGCATTGTCCCAGGATGGGGAAGAAGCATCTGAAGTCAGGTTCTTGGGTTTAGTGGCAGAAACATGTCCAGATGAGTGAGTAACGGCCACCTGCTGAGCTACAGCCCAGGTTGGTTCATGCAGAAAAATGGATCCCGTGGTTCACATGAGCAGAATCCCATTCCATCAGTGACAGCATCACGCCCAGCCCCAGGAGGCTGGATGCCACGTGCCTGCCAAACCCAATTACCAAAGAGCGGGAAAATGGAAAGAACCATCTGCCAAAAGTGGAGAGGAGGCTGGGCATGGGCTGCGCCTGGAGTCCACCCAGGCAGAGGCAGGAGGGTCGCTTGAGCCCAGGAATTTGAGCTTAGCCTGAGCAACACAGTGAGATCCTGCCTCAAAATAAAAGATAGAGAAGGAAATTTGTAAGTTCATGTAATTAAAGAATTCGGGAGGGCTGGGGTGGTGGCTCAGAGGGAGAGCGCTCGCCTGGCACCTGCGAGGCCCTGGGTTCGATCCTCGGCATCACATAAAAATAAAGTTATTGTGTCCAACTACAATAAGTAAATAAAGAAATAAAATATTAAAAAAGAAATTCAGGACTTCTGGCTCAGCCCGACCCAGGATTTTTAACAATGCCACCACCAGCCTGGGTTTCTCTCTCTCTTGGACCTGATTCCTCTGTCTTCTTGCTCAAATAGTTCTACCCTCTGGCACTGAAGGCTGAGGGGCCCTGTCTTCCCAGGACCACGTCCAGTGGGGAAGATGGTTTCCTACATCCCTCAAGCTCCATCCCCGGGGCTCAGGCATCTGCCTGCCTCCCAGAGGCAGGGGAACCCAACATAGTGCTTATTAAATTAAACGAGTCAGAGCCGGGTGCCATGGCGCACACCTGCAATCCCAACAGGTCCGGAGGCTGAGGTGGGAGGATCGCAAGTTCAAAGCCAGCCTCAGCAAATTAGGGAGGCCCTAAGCAGCTCAGTGAGACCCTGTCTCTAGGTAAAATACAAAAAAAGGGCTGGGGAGGTGGCTCAGTGGTTCAGTGCCCCTAGGTTCAATTTCTGGTACCCCCCAAAATTAAATGAGTCAGAACCCTCAAGCTTTGCTCAAACAAGACAATTCAGCTGAGCCTCAGCTTTCCTTTTGTGCATGGATGTGGGAGAACAGGGAAGTGCAATGAGCATCCAGTTTCACAAAGGAAATGTCTAAGTATTTCTTCCAGAAAACAGAGCCACCAATTTGAATATTATTAACAGGACTACACATTACCATGGCAACTCATCAGTCACAAACTTTGTTTTTGTGTTTTGTTTTTTTTTAGTTGTAGATGGCACAATATCTTTATTTATTTATTTGTATATGGTGCTGAGGATCAAACCCAGGGCCTCACATCTGCGAGGCGAGCTCTCTACCACTGAGCCCCAGCCCAGCCCCAGTCACAAACATTTTATGCAGAAAATAGTGTCGCCACGACCTCTGCGGTTTGAGCAAGACTTTTTGGAAGTAAATTCTCAAGGTCTTTTTTCTGATGTTAAATAGGACGAGAAAGCAAGAAATTAATATTTTTTCCTTGACTTGATGGAATTTCAGCAGCACAGCCTAGAGTTTTGCTTTGATTTATACTTTTTATTGAAAAAAATTAGTAGAAAGTTCCTTTTTTAGTGAAAAATTTCAATCAGACGCACCAAAGGAGAGAGAATGGGACAATGAACCAACCTTAATAATTATCAACCTTTTGCCCTTTTTTTCTGAAACATTTATTATTATTACTATCATCATCATCATCTTATTATTACTATTATTGTTATTATTATTATTATCATTATTATTTTGGTACCAGGGATTGAACCCAGGGGCACTCTCCCACTGAGCCAAGACAGGGTCTCAGTCAGTTGCTTAGGGTCTTGCTAAGTTGCTGAGGCTGGCCTCAAACTTGCAATCCTCCTGCCTCAGCCTCTTGAGTCTCTGGGATCACAGGTGTGCTTTCCTCTTTTCTCTGTTGTTATTTTCGTGGTTTGGGGATCAAACCCGGGGTTTACACCCCAGCCACATTTTTTGAAGCCAGGGGCGCTCTCCCACTGAGCCACATCTATCTCTTTGTTTAGTTTTCATTTTAGACAGGGTCTTGCTAAGTTGCCCACACTGGCCTGGAATTTGCAGTTCACCTGCCTCAGCCTCCTGAGCCACCAGCTTCATTCATTCCTAGTTGCCTCCCTGAGCTCTCTATTACCATTCAGTCATGTGAAGGGTTCAGCATATGGGGGGGTGCATTTCAGTCTGCATTAGTCCATGTGGCCTGAAGCTGGTCACCAGCTCTGGAAATTTAGATTTAGTCTAAATTTAGATTAATTTAGATTTAGTCTCAGAATCTAAGAACCCTCCACTGTCCCGCTGTTAATGACATTGTCATTAGTAATTGGCCACTGGATCAGGTAGAGTTGACCTACAGCCCCGTGTGTTCTGGGTAGACGGAGGTGTGAGCCTGGATGCTTTCTATCCACATAGACACAGCGCTGACTGCAGTGAGGGGCGCAGGGACACTGAGTGCCCTTGAGCAGGCTGCACTCCGGGGCACCTGACGTGCACACTGGCTCAGGTCTCTGACCTCTGCTTTCTGGCCCACTTTGGAGACATTTGTCACCAAGGCGCTGCTGCAGGCTGAGCAGGGAGAGCACCCTGGGCAGCTGCTTGTGTCCATGCCAAACAGTTAGAGCAAGAACTACCCCCAAGCAGGACATGGGGCTGAGGCCCAGGTCACCTGCTCACCCCAGCCTCTGCTCCCCTGCAGTTGAGCATTGACAGCTGCTGGGTAGGCTCCTTCTACTGTCCCCAGGCTGACTTCTCAGCCACCATCTACGACGCCATCTCCACGGAGAGCACGCTCTTCATTCGGCAGAACCAGCTGATCTACTACTACACGGGGACCTACGCCACCCTGTACGACAGCAGCCACAGCAGCGGTGAGGGACCCGGCAGCGGCCACACCCGGGTCCTTGGCACCTCAGGCCAGGGGACCCACCATTAGAGCTGCAGGGAGGGACAGTGAGGTCATCCATGGGGACACCTGGGACTGAGATTTCCGTGAGTGGGTGGGGGAGGGCCCCACCACTGTGTTGAATCATCACCAGCCTGCAGGACGGTCCCCTACTTCGCCATGTGACATGCAGACCTTCCTGAGAATTGTGAGCCACTGCGGGAGGAGGGGCGGGAGAGGGAGCCCGAGAGCCACGTGTGCCCTGAGCAGAGTGGGATCAGGAAGACGCATCTAGAGACGCAGGAAAGACAGAAAGGTGGGGGCGAGGAGGGCGTGGGAGCCAGAGGCTGCAGAGCAGGGCCAGGGGGAGACCGAGCAGAGGGAGGGGACTTTTGGTTCTGCCTCATCTTTTAGAGAATACTAAAGCCCCCCAGTTTTTTTAGTCCCCCCACAACCGAAAGAGAGGTGTCAATTATGCCATTATAGAAAAGGCACTGTAATGTGTATCACGCTGGTTAATACGTGCCCCCCACATCCTTGTTTTCCTTTTTTAAGGGCCTTTTTTGGGGGTATTGAGGATTGAACCCAGGAGCACTCAACCACTGAGCCACACCCCCAGCCCTATTTTGTAGGGTCTCAATGAGACAGGGTCTCACTGAGCTGCTTAGGGCCTCCCTGTTGCTGAGGCTGGCTTTGAACTCATTTCCCAGCCTCCCAAGCTGCCACTGTGCCTGGCTTAGGGTGTTTTTTTGTTTTGTTTTTTGCACCAGGGATTGAAGCCAGGAGTACTTAACTACCAAGCTACATTCTTAGCTTTTTTCATTTTTTATTCAGAGTTAGGTGCTGAGGCTGGCCTCTATATTGTAATCCTCCTGGCTCAGCCACCTGAGGCCCTAGGGTTACAGGTGTACACCACTGCACCCAGTTCTTAGGGTCCTTTGACAGTGGGAGGAACCAAATTAAAATCATCTTAAGCCAAAGAAAATGGGTGTGTATTGGTTACATAGCTGATGGTTGGTTGGTTTCAGGAACAGTTGGATCCAGGGGCTTGTTACTGCCAGCCAGTCTCTTCTTGTGGAGGCCATGGTGATCCTAGCAGTGGTCTACCTTTATGTTCCTCAGTGACCCCAGGGAAGAACATCTCTTGGTTACAAGGTGGAATAGTCTGATTTTTCCCACCTTGGTCACCCAGTTCACAACCAATTGCTCTCGCCAGGACAGTCCAAGAGAGAGGTCTCCTCTTCTGGACTTGATGGAGAGAGGACAAGCAAGGGAGGTTTTCTCAAAGTCAACTGGTGCCACTGCCAAGGGCCCCCAACACCACACTGAACAGGTATCCCAGCCAGAGAGGACAGGTCTCACCAGACCAGCAGAGTGAGGATGGGGGTCCCAGGCACCAGGTACAGCCGCCTGGGCCTGAGACCTCATGCTTGTACCCCTAGGCAAATGGGTTCGCGTCCTGGCCAGCGAGTGTATCAAGAGGCTGTGCCCCGTGTATTTCAGTAGCAATGGCTCTGACCACGTCATAGCCCTGACCACTGGCAAGCATGAGGGCTATCTCCACTTAGGGACCATCACGGGTAAGGCTGAGGGCCTCTGGAAGCCCGAGAGACCTCGCGGGGCCCTCTCACCCCAGGCCCTTGTTACTCACTGTGTGCCCTCAAGACCGGTTCCAGGCTGTGTGTGTGTTTGTCCCTGTGTGTGTGTGCGCACGCTTGCTCGCGTGTGTGCGTGTGGCAAGGGGGGTTGGTTATGCATTTGTACAGATAAGGTTTGGTCAGTCCCACGACCTGATGGAGCCATATTCTGATAGACCACTTGTGAGGGCCAGAGGGTGAGGCCTGCTCCCTGGAATCCAAGGGTAGGGGGCAGAAGCAGTGGAGACAGCAGGGGGACTTGGTTTGGTGAGGTCCCAGATGGAGCTGGTGGTACCAGAAGGGCCTGTGTGTGGCCCCGACCTTCCTCCACAGATGGCCTGGTGTCTTTTGAGTTGCTGCCCAGGAATCAGACCACGTGCAAAAGGATGTTAGGTATTCATCTCTGTTGGGCCAGTGGCAGGAGGGCAGGGCCTGAGGCTGTGGGAGAGGAAGGAAGGGGAGGGGGGTCACAGAAAGGACAGGCAATGTCTTGGGGATGGGTGGAGCGCTATGTGGAGGGACATGGCATCGCAGAAATGAAGCTGCTCCAGGGGGTCCCTCCTCTCTCCTCCCAGTTGACAGATGCTCCATAATCTGGGCCATCTTCATCCCGGGGCAGCACATTCTGATGATGCTGGTGGAGACCCAGTATGATGATTCAGATCCAAAATATTACCAGCTGGCCAGCTACGACCTGAGTACCAGGGTGATGGGCTGGGGGAGAGGGGTGGCGAGGATCTGGAGCCCAGATTGTGGATTGCATGCCCCTCCCAAGGGATCGAGTGCCCCCCCCCCAGAAGGGCAGTGTTGCTAGATAAGTCTGCAGTGGAGAGCAGAGTAGAGACTCAGTGGGCTGCAGACGCTCAGAGGAAGTCAGTAAAGGCCTCTTGCTCCACAAGAAGATTTGAGTAATCCCAGCAGTTCGGGAGGATGAGGCTGGAGGATTGCAAGGTCAAAACCAGCCTCAGCAACTTAGCAAGACCCTGTCTCTAAATAAAATGTAAAAAAGGACTGGGAATGTGACTCAGTGGTTAAGAACCCCTGGGTTCAATCCTCAGTATGGAAAAAAAAGATTTGATTTTACTGGCAATAAGAACAGGGCTACCAAATATAGTTGTACAGGCTGTGCACTGCAAAATCCCACCCACAAGCCCTGCACCCTAACAGAACTGTATCCTTTCAGCGGCAGGACCCTTTTATAGTTCAGGTTAAGAAATTCAGGCCCAAGTGGGAAGCCAATGGGAAGGATTTTCTGAGGAGTTGGGAAGTTGATGGTTTGCTTCACTTCAGGTTTTGAAAGCTTGGCCTCTCAGATTTTACTGTATTTTCCCCACCTATAGTCACTGAGGAGATGACCATCCACTATACCCTACCACTGTTCATCCCTGATGGTAGGAGGGGAAAGCAGGGGTGACTTCCAGGGAGGGGTGGCCAGAGGGGCCCCGGCTACCCCACTCCCTGCTGTCCTCTTTCTCTGCTTTGTTCAGCCCGGGGCTTAGAGTTCCTGATGATCCTCGGGACAGAGTCTTACACTAACACTCCCATGATCCCCAAGGGCTTGTCCTTTAACTTGTACAACAACCTGCTATTCATCTGGGGCAACTTCCTTCTGCAGAGGTAGGCCCCCTTACCCCCTCCCCCGTCACCCCCTTGTGGCCCAGATGCCCTCCCTGCTCGGCCTCACTAAGGGGAGGGCTCTTTCTGAAGTCACCAAGCCTTCAAAGGAGGCCAAATGCAGACATGATCAGGATGGGGATGGGGAAAACAGGGATGGGATAGCCGGGGGTAGGCTGGGCAGAGCTGTGTGTGTGTGTGTGTGTGGTCAAGGTGTCTGATGCCTGCTAGCCAAGCACTGAGCTACAACCCCAGCCCTGGGAGCCCTTTTTTAAAATGAAATCTTATGGAAGGACCCAATGTATGTGTATGTATGTGAGCAATAGAAAATTATTTTCTGGGGACACTTTAGAACTCTTCCCATCTACCCACCCCGAGGAGATTGGGAGATGGAGATTTTGAGGGCAGAAGGTTACCTTGGGGATATGAGGTAGGGACAGAAGTTAGAATTCCAGGCTCCCTTTTTACTTGTTCATAAGACTAGTGGAGAAATGGAGTTCGTGGGGCCTATGTTGTAGCAGACGAGGAACAGGGGAAGCAGGTATCCAGGACACCCAGCTGTCACGGTGCTCTGAGTTCCCCATGTCTATCCCCTGCAGCTACAACGCAGAAAACTTCATCTACCTGGCGGACTTCCCCAAAGAGTCATCCATCAAGTACATGGTCAATTCATTCCGAGGGGATGTAGCTATTGTCACGGAGACTGAAGAGGTGGGCTGCTTTGCCCCTTTCTCTGCTCCCTCTCTGCCCACCCCCAACCCTCCGTCCTCGGGGAGCCTCAGGAAGGACAGGAGAAGCTCCATGTGTACCTGGGAATCCTAGAACTTATACACACGCTGGTGTTTGGGGTACTGGGGGGTGGCAAGGGCTCCCCCGCTGAGTCACATCTCTAGCCTTAGACCCCTGGAACTTAGACTAGGAATCTTCTAAAGTCACACAGAAGAGTGAAAGACCCGCGCAATGATCTCATTTCCAGGGGAGGCCACTTTCATTCCACGGTGTAGTTGTTCGTTCCATAAATATTAAGCACTTAACTGACTAGTGTTAGGGACACAATGGTGGCCAGGTCAGCCCTGGGCCCTGTCCTCAGAGGATCACTGTTCACTGGGGAATACAGGCCTGTTCCCAGACAGTGACAGTGGTCAGGGGGGAAATAGCACCAGAGAGCCTGACCTCATCTGGTGTGCGTACCAGGGAGGGTTTCATGGAGGGGATCCCCCAGCCGAAGCTCAGGAAGTGGAGGTCTGGAATCAGATGTGTGCAGAGCAGCGTCCATCAGTGTAGAAATGGGAAACTGAGGTCCAGGGACTGGTGAGACCCTGGAAGCTGCCAAGAGTGAGAAGGCAGGAACCCTGTCTTTAAGGGGCATATGTATTAGGAATGCTTCAGCTGCAAGTAAAAGAAACTCAAGTAGGCCGGAACAGTGAAAAGCGGGGTCATGGCAGGGGGGTGGGCTGCACACAGGGGCTTGGCCTCCAAAAATAGAGAGATGGCACTACAGAGAAGGTACTGTGGGCTCCTCTGGTCCCTGTCACCTGGAGGTGAGCTCCAGGCCTTACTCCTCACATACTGGCCAGAGGGAGAGATAGAGCAGGAGGTCCCTGTGGCCTGCACACACACCTCGCTGCTGGACCCTCAGATCTGGTACCTCCTGGAGGGCACCTACCACCTGCACAGGATCTTCCCATCCCACGGCTGGGACATCCACGTCAGCCTGCAGGTGATGAAGCAGTCCTCCTTGTATGCCTCCAAGGAGACCATGGTCACCCTCTTCTATGAAGATAAAAAGCTGTACCAGGTGCCAGCAGGCCTTTTGTGGGGGTGCAGGGGGGGTACAGGGGGGCTGAGGCCAGTCTGCTTGACCACCTTGTCTCCGCAGCTGGTATACCTTACACACGGCAAGCAGGACCACCTGGTCAAGAGGCTGGTGCCCATGGAGAAGCTGCTGATGTACGAGCAGCACAAGCAGATCCACAGGATGCAGGATGGGTGAGAAGGCCTGGACCACACCGCGGGCTGAGCGCGCCCATCCCGGGGTGGGACTTAAGCCATCCCAGTGATGACCCTGGGCTGCGATGGGGGAGGGTGGTACAGATACCTGGAAGCTCAAAGGAGGAGCAGGACCCAGCCTGGCGGGAGGTGCACCCAGGAAGGCTTCAGAAGGAGATGCATGGGCTGTGTGACCTGAAGGCTGAGGAGGAATTAGCCAGGTGACAGGTGGAGCAGGGTGCTCCATGGTGCCAGGGGAGACAACCATCAAAGGCCTGAGGAGGAAAGAGGTTTGGGTGTTCAAGAACCCAGATAAAGTCCTGGCCAGAAAGAGCACAGTAGGGATATGGGGTGGTGGGAGGGGCGGGGACAAGGGGAGCCTGGTGTTCTTAGGAACTTCATCTTGAAGGTCTTGGGGAGCCATGGATGGGACTCCACGGTGGGATGCAGAGTCAGATTTTACCACATTTCCTAATGATCCTTCTAGTCACCTGCAGAGGGTGGGTCAGGGGAAAGAGGCGGCTGGAGGTGGGAGTGGGGGTGGGGTAGGGCTATGTGGGCGGGGCTCAGGAGGCAACAGGAGTGCAATAAACAGAAGGTCTGCTGTCAGACAAGTGGAACTAACCACAGAGAGCCGTAGAGGGGAGGGGGCTTTGGTCTGAGGGTTGAAGGGACAGCCAAGGGTCCGGAGGCCTCTGGGTGAGAGGAACTGAAGATTGGGGCTGGATTAGATCTGGGGAGGCTCCTGGGACGGAGAGTGGAAGAGTCAGCTGTCCCCCCACCCTGCTGCCCAGAAGTCGTCCGACGCTCTCCTTCAGCAACTTATGCCCGTTCGAGGTGATGCGCCTGGGGAACCTGCCGAACCCCCAGGCCTACACGCGCCAGGAGCGCTACCTGGCTCGGCCCCCGATGGTCCTGAATCCCTCGGGCTTCCACAGCGAGAATTCCCTCGCGGTCTATCAAGGTCTCGTCTACTACCTGCTCCGGTTGCACTCCAAGTACGACAAGGTGGGCGCCTCAACAGGGCACTGAGACCTCACGGAGGGGAAACGGCCTAGAGGCGGGGCCTGTACAACAGAGCGCAGTCGGATAGGTGTCTGAGGTCCAAGTCCGGGGGCGGGGCGG